CTCTTCTACTTATCCTCTTCGTCCCTCAAAGACATACGACCATGAATGTTTCCTTCCATCTGGGTCTGTCCTTGGCCATCTCATTAACTGATCGCCAGGATATTCCCATGGACTCAATGTCATCCCTCGCAAGGCTTCTCTAAGTGGTTTTGGGCCTTTCTTTTTTTCCCAATAGGTCTTCAGTTTCAAGCTGTTCAATGTATTCTTGACTCATCCATTCTATGTCCATGGCTAAGCCATTTCAGTCTTATGTTAGTGATTTTCGTGGATAATCTTCTACAACAGGTTTCCCTATGAAGTTAGCATGAAGATATATTTACTTGGCAAAATATCCAATGTTTCAAAGAAATAGAATTCATCCCTCTACAAACAGTTTGTCTGATATCACTTTGAATCTGTCACGGCTTTGAATGTTTAAAGAAAGTCGGAAGTTTATGATTTATGAAACTATATTTAACGAAAGAAGACTATCGGCAAGACTTTTGTGAGGTCTTCAAAGCAAATGTTCCATTCAAGTCACACACATCCGTCTTTGTGATATTGTCTTGAGTCCCCACGACGGCGACCTCATGTCAGAGAATGAAGTGACAATCCGCCCGAAGAGGACTGTACGCTTGTCCTCAGAGAACCCACACAAATCCCACGGATAATGCCAACCTTCAGCTAGCCGCTTGGGTCGAGTAACACCACATACGGTCATGGGCGTATGTAAAGTACAACAGAGATCCCAATATGAGTCTGCTGCTTTGGGTACCGGCGGCGCGGGGGATTTTTTTTCAAAAAGTCTTGTTTTGTCGTTATTGATGAGAAGTGGCGGCCCCACACGGGAGGATATGTTCAAGTTGTATTGATGTAGCTTCCCACAAAGGGGAAATTGAATTCAATGACGCATGTACGGAGGTACTACAGACGGTATAGCCCCAGGGTCCGTGGAAGCGATGGGCGTGGAGCATGTGCAGAGAAACGTGACTTTTCAGCTATGTTTTCCACCAAGAATCCCCCATAGATACACTTTGGACCAAATCTAATCAAAAGGCTAATTGTATTTGCTTTTGAAAAGGTAACACGGTGTTATGTGGTGTTTCAGTCTTGGTGACTGGTACGGTTACGTGACGTAAAGAAACAAGTGATGGTGTCAAAAAGATTGAGTACGTCGACGTATGGAATATTCTAGTATCATTTGACTTCATTGCCGTGAATATATAAGTACAAAGACTGAGTCTGCAAAGTTTGGAAACAAGAGAAAGTACCACGCCTCTCGTTTATATTTTTACTTTCTTACGTGAATCGGTTCATAATTATGTTGCCTTTCCCTTTATATACGTGCATATTAACGTCAGACTTCACAAATCTCGGAGTTAGCACTTGAAGACCTTGTGGGCGTAGTGATGACGTCAAAACGTCTCCAATTTTCTTGAAGAGTTAGACCCTAAAGCCGTCTCATCACGCAAGATCGTGGTAAGGATGAAATACGAGTAGGTTCCAGACACGACATGTCCATATGTCTCTTACCGTGGCCGACAAGTACACATCTGCGTCGTCTGCGCAAGCACCTGCGTCGTCTGTGCCGAAAGAAAGCTGCGTCGTCTGCACAGAAAAAAATGCATTGTCTGCGCAAACACCTGTGTCGTCTGCACAGAAAAAAAAGCTGCATTAGTATGCACAGAAAAAATGCGTCGTCTGTGCAAACACCTGAGTCGTCTGTGCCGAATGAAAGCTGCGTCGTCTGTACAGAAAAAAAAAGATCGATGCAGGTGCGTACTTGTCGGCCACGGTAGTCTCTACCGGTATCTCTGCCAGCATCTGCCGACACGATAGTTGATCAGGACCGACGAGGGCCGCCTTAGCTTTCGGTTGTGACGGCCTATTATGGATAATCCATATATGTTTTAATGAGTTTCTCACGTTTAAACCATTCATCTACACGGGGGATCGATGATGGGTTCACGGGTAGGACGTGACGTCGGAGTTTTAATTGATTGCGTCCGTCCTACTGATAGACCTCAGATAACATCCTACATTTTAAAACCACTAGTTTGATACCAGAATCATAAACAGATCATATAAATTTGTTGTATGTTGTTACAATGTCTGGAAAAACGTACTTCACATTTATGACGAAGTCTTCTAGATATTTCGATAGAATCTGCCAATGATTCACGAAGCTATAGTTAGCCTGGCATCTATGATGGGGTCAAATGTGACAGGGAACTCTGGGATACGTCTCCTACCTCCTCTGAATGCCAGGCTACCACCAAGACACAAGTCGATATAAGAACGCCTTCTGGTGGAGGGTTATCGAGAATAATAAGCGATGTATCATGATTCCTGCCAAAAGGTGTTCTCATATCGTCCGCCCCTCCTTGGATCCGTGCCCATCCCTCCCACACACCTGCCTGTGCATACAGATAGCCCGGTCGTTATCTCAGGAGAACTTGGACATGAGAAATGATGTCGAGCCGGGGTATCATCACCTAATCCGCGGAATCCAGCGCCCTGTTGAGTCTAATTACAAGGTTGAGTGGACGTGCACAAACGAACGATTTAGTAGAGGAGTCGTCGTGCTTTCACAGTTACGCATTTTAAAAGGAGCGATCTTCCCTTTAATAAGTGCTGATTGTACAGAAGTGTGTGTGTAATTACGTAGATCGAACTGCCCTGCGTGGCCCTGCCTTCTGATGAAAAACTCGAATACCTTCGTTAGATTCATGGCCACGATTACCACTGTGACATATTGCAAGGCTGAAGGACACTATGCACATGTGCTACCGCTACATTATGGACTTCGTGTTGAATTTACTCGTAATTCGATTCACCAAAAATCCAATCTCTTTCGAACAATCTCTTTCGTGATCATATCCGCCTTTTGTGATCATTGCAGGCTTCGACCTTTTGGAAGTTATGTTATTATGGCGATATCTTTCGCTTGTTTCATTTGAGGGTCAAGGAACTAGAAAACGCTTTGACGTCTTTGATAGACAAAGAGATGTAAGTATTTCCCAACCAAGACCACCTGTTCGACGCCTCCTATATGAAAAAAAATCAATGATGTGTTTCCCGTTATCATTGGAAGGGCTCATTTGGCATAATCTATACCGTTTGATGATGTTATGACAACTTAATGGAAAATTCTCTTGAAGGAACAGATGATAATTGATTTTTTAGCACTTTGCAATACAGAATACAGGACGACAACAAAACAAAACAAGACAAAACAACGACACAACAAGACACAACACACCACTACTATTATAGCTTATAATCAATTCTCTAGCTACTTTAAAGTGTTACGATTATAGCTTATAATCAATTCTCTAGCTACTTTAAATTGTTACGATAATAGCTTATAATTAATTCTCTAGCTGATAATTACTGGGTGATTGAAAGTAGCTGTATAAAGCTTTATAATAGCCATTAGAATTTCTTCAAGTTTATAGCTATGTATCCCCATGGCAGTAAGACATTTTTATGAACACCTTGAATGGTTTTCTGTACTTTGCCCAGTCGAGTCGGAATAAGAATTTATGGAGTGCATCTCACGTCTAAGATGGCTCCTTGAGGACCTGTGTGCTTGTGGGAAGGTAAGGTGATATCTCAGCCACCCCGAGGTGTACGGGAAGACGTGCCAAATGATTCCAGCCGGAGAGGCATCGGCTGGGCCGGAGAAGTAAACTCACACTCTACCGGCGAGAGGAGATCGATAAGGAAAAGCCCCACGGCTGCCATACATCTTGGGCGGAATACGGCCTGCCCGGAGTAGTAATAACACGGCAGAGCTCCGCCAACTCACGGGGATCGATAACATGGAGGGTTAATCAACTCCCCTGACAGTAGGCTTCTTTACAGTCGTGTAGTATATCAAACGCTTTTTAAGAGGCGTCACCCGGTTCTGTGGACGGTGAACTTTAGTGGTCGCTTTTCTGTGATGACTGGTGTGATTTTTATCTTTTGCTACGTGGACTGAATTTTTTCTGAGTAAACAACAATACGATGGATATAATGAACTAGGTAATGCATGTTTGTTTCGTAAAGCAAACGTCGATATTTGTGGAGGATCTTTCATTAAATAATCAATCACTGACGTGCTAAGCCTTTTGGGAAATGTTAACTGGAGCACTGAGAAAGATAGCCCGGAGGATCATTCTCAATCTTGGTGATAAAACGCCTCCGTTTCAAGACAGTCGCTTTTATGGCGTCTTTTGTTATGTTGTTAAAGTTTCTCTTTGAGATCTGAGTGTGCATACGGGTTCAGTGAAAACCAAAACTGCAACTAAAAATCAATCAGTTACGCCAAAGCTTGGGTGTACTGATTAAGTACAAATGAAGGCCCTTTACTACTATATCATATACTGAATAATAGATTAGAAATGTCCGTCAGATTTCCCACCCAGGCACTTACGTGAATCACCTAGTGTGTGTACTGTTAATCTATCAACTTGGGCTCGTGGATGTTCGTTACTGCAAACTCTGCTTGGTGTTTCCTCTGGTTGTTGTGTCCGTGTGTGTCCTAGCGATCTGAAAGTTGTCCGGCTGTCCTTACGTATGTGTCCTTTCTCGCTTGTTTGTTTGTTCGTCCGTTCGTTCATTGTTGGTCTTGTTCAGCTAAATTTGTTCTGTACACAATCGAAGTCTTCCTTCACTTAACGAATGTTGGACTTGATGAAGACTAACATGAGAAGAGTGAATCATAAAATTAATGACGCTACTCGAATGACTTGATATCAAAATAATTCTTATATATTTCTCTCTCCTCATTGCTGCAATTGGATGTCCCTGTCATGACCACGTTCAACTCTTACCATTAATTGACAAAAATAATCTTCCCGCGTACGCGCGCGTTCAATTAAAAAAGTTTGGAGTCATTCAAAATGTTGAAAACAAGCCTGAAACACTATCTAAACATCGTACAATCTTCGGAACTTTGCATGTAATAAGTACAGCAAGACTGTAAGAGATCCCAAACCCTGTATGATTTATGGTCAGTCCGTGTCTCTCCACAGCGGTTTAGCTTGCGGAGGCTGTCCAGAAGACCGTCTGAGCAGCCATATTGGCAGGTCTGGTATAACCCATCACTGCCAAAGCTTCAACTTCCATGCGACTTCTTCATATCTCATATCTACAACACTCATGATTTGCTGTTGATGCACTCGTTTAATTTGAGCAACACAAAACGACTTTACAAAACACGCCTTGACAGACACATTTTTATTTACCGGACAGTTTCTTTGACTGGTTATGCATCACTGCGTTTTTCCTAGACAGATGGTTTTCCATGGACACGTTCTGTGAGAATTTGCATACTTTCGTTTCACATTTTTGAAACATGGAGGGTTAGAAGAAGTGCATCGAAGTTCAAGTTTTTGCAGCGATGACCCGGAAAGGGTTACTTCCCTAGACATCATGCAAGTACTAATACCCTAACGATTGCCTCGGCTGCAATGCCGAGCATCATATCATGTGACATGGTCTGTGCTTCTGCTCTGGTCAAAACTTTTTCTCCTACAGGCCTTCCCAGCTCCACTAACCAAGCTGAAGCATGTGCAAGCGTCAGTGCTGCCGTGAAAAACAACCCTTTCTTACAGCCAAAGCCCTCACTAAAAAGTCAAAGTCAATCTTGAAGAAAGTTGCTTCTAATCTTCCCCCACTATTTATTGCGTTCTGACCAGTGTATGTAGACTTTGTGGAACGGTATAGGTCTTCCGAACAACAAGACTACAGTACTATCACTAGACGTCTCGAGAGTACTAAAAGTGTTCATCGTGCAACATATACGCCGGTGGCTTGTTGTGTAAAGCATCCCTTGTGGACAACATCACTGCTTCTTTTCACACATTGGGAAAATCTCACAAAAATCTGCTGCAAATCAAATCTTTTCTGCTGCATATCAACTTCCACATGGCATCTTTGCTCTTGCGTGGACATTCGGATGGCGTGCGGAGGTCACTGTCCTACTTCTACGGACCATCTTTGTAAACATCTGTAAATAAAATCAGGGCCTAATCATCGCCAATTATGTGATGTCACGCAAGCAGAATCTTCTCAAAAGCTCGTCATTCGTGTACACTGGGATGTGAATGGCTTTACGTCGTTCAGTGATGTGGTCTTACAGCCTGTATACATGTATCGCTTGTCTGTGTACAAGTGTTGTTGCTTTTTCTCTTGATCTAACCAATGCATGGCATTCTGTGGGCTGCAACCTCCACGCATTACCCGGTCTTTTTTAACCGAGACAAAAATCAAAGATGATTTTATCTGTAGATGGTGCTAAATTGTCAATTTTGGTTTCATTTTCGCCCAAGCAGATACTGAACCTGAATGCGGACGTGCTCCCCAAGTATAAGCAGGAGACGCCGAAGACTCCACCCCACATCATTCTCCACTACTCCACCTTCAAGGCCGGCTGGGACTGGGTCATCCTCATCCTGACGTTCTACACCGCCATCATGGTGCCCTACAACGTGGCCTTCAAGCTGAAGGACAGGGAGAACATCCCGCTGCTGGTCACCGACAGCATCGTGGACATCGTGTTCCTCATCGACATCGTGCTCAACTTTCACACCACTTTTGTGGGGCCTGGTGGAGAGGTAAACCCCACTGAAAAAATACACTTGCATACTACTACTACTACTACTACTACTACTACTACTACTACTACTACTACTACTACCCCTACTACTACTATTACTGCTACTACTAAAACTATTGCTACTACTACTACTTCTACTACTTCTACTACTACTACTACTACTACCATTGCTACTACACTACTACTGCTACTGCTACTTCTACTTCTATTACTACTACTGCTGTCAATCAGTCTAAAAATATACAAAACACATCATACTACTACTTCTACTACTACTACTTTGTGTTTTTTACCAAGGAGGGTTTAACCTGCATTATTTACGACGATACAAGAAGTAAATTTTCTACTAATCACATGATGATTTTTAAAAAAATCAGAATATTTCAATTTTTGGTGCAACCATATTACCCAATGTCGCTTTAAATGTCCATGTTCCTACTTAGTAATTACTAATTTAGTAAGGGAATAAGTGAATGTACTGTAACAGTATGCGGGAATTGTAAACAACAAGAACTATCACACTCAACTAACTGTAATACAGGTCTTCTTTGACAATATTTTCTTCTTCCTTTTCTTCTACAGGTTGTCTCCGACCCCAAAATCATCCGTATGAACTACCTGAAAAGCTGGTTCGTCATAGATCTCCTTTCATGCCTGCCGTATGACGTCATAAACGCCTTTGATAATGTAGATCCGGTAAGATCTAAAAGTCCGTTCCTTGTGAAATCTATCTCCCTATTCATATAGTGTTTGCTGGATTTGCCCTGTATATAGACCGCTACACGTTTGTGAAACTCTTTCTATGCTAAGACTTAGAGCCAGTATGAAGTTCCAGTTCCAGATTAACGTTGTCAGGTGCAAAACATCTTGCTACCTGATTGTTAGGATCAAAATATAATTTCACAATCATATTACATATTCTTGCGTATGTCTGCAATGACCTTTCACAAATTGGCTTCTACATTTGTGATAAATGTATATATGCCATATATATGGAGGGGTGTATACGCTTGCCTTTTTTATGTTTACCTTCGCAGAAGGAAAACATATTGTTTTTGCTCTGTTTCTCCTTTTTCTCCAAACACATAAGGTCAATGACCAGGACCAGACGTCTGTCACCATGGTAACTGGTGCTGTAGTTGAAGGGGCTGATCACCACATATATGAATACGTTTGCTTACTTTTATATTGTTTCAACTACTGTCCATTCCTAACACCATTTATTCTGATTTGAGTGTTCCTGTCAAGTAAACCAAAAATATAAATGAAATGAAACTACTATTCTTTTGTTGTTATGAAAACGAAATGAAGGGATGTGTAACGTCTATATATATATGACATTCTGGCAATATCCCCATGCATACAGAGCATCAGTAGTCTGTTCAGTTCGCTGAAAGTGGTCCGGCTGCTGAGGTTAGGCAGAGTCGTGCGGAAGCTGGACCACTACATCGAGTACGGAGCAGCCGTGCTGGTGCTTCTGGTCTGCGTGTTTGCTCTCTTCGCTCATTGGTTTGCGTGCGTTTGGTAAGCAGTATTAACAATAATATTTGTTGTTTGTTTGTTTAAAGTAAACTTTTATCCAACNCAAAAAATTCTCTCACCTAGAGATTTCGACCAGTCACTCTGGTCTTCCTCAGTAGACTGACCCAGGTGCACTGAGGCTTGTCACGTGGCTTCTTTAAAGTGTGTCCCAGTGATGACGTCATACTTTAAAGAAGTCACGTAACAAGTCTCACTGGGTCAGTCTACTGAGGAAGACGAGAGTGACTGACGAAATATCTAGGTGAATGTCTTTGTGTTGGACCAAAATTTTTGACTTTAAAATGTAACTACCAACACAGATGAACTTTCACGAAAGCATTAAATCATTTATTTATTTATGTCAGGCACCCAAATACACACATACAGCGAGCGATATACAGTACCTATAGTCTAACCTAAAATCAGCTACGTTTAGAAAACAAGATTTACGTATAAGTGCATCGAGAAAATGCTGTGATTGTACGAGTCTGAATGGACGAGGATCTGGATAATGAATTATTGGAGCAGAGAAGTTGAGAGACAGTAACCTCTCCCACCACTTTCTTGAAAGGAACATTATGCAACATTAGGACAACGTAGAACGTACATTTTCCTGTCATTTCTTTACATATAATTAAACCCACTAGCATTCCATAACAACATTCGGGAAAGGAAATTGCAACAAAATTGCATCAACACAAACAAAAAGAGGTTGTACATGTACTTGTACATGAAGGGTTTGTTCTCGTGAACATTTTGAATTTTGGGACCAAATGTTACATGGTGCCCCTTTAAAGCTTGCAAACTCACATAAACCTTCCTTGTCTAAATATAGAATGTCTAACTTCAAAAATACCACCAAGAAATGATTGTCCTAATAGCCTAGTGTCTACAAATATAAGAACAGCGGGAAAATTATACATGTAGGTTTTGCAACTTTGTGATGATTATTACTGTCTGACATAGATATATGGCACGTAGTAAATAGATAAGCCATCTGTTTGTGATTGATTCCAGATTTAGCCTGACTATGTTGTCCTGCATGTCTCATTAACCATGTATAAATGTCGTAATGAACATCCATCACATGTCATCAGTCATCTGCACATGGTAGTGATCTGCTGTGAGGAAACCATTAATAACAGTGATCAGACTGGGATGAAGAGATTATTAGTAAGAGAGAGGAACACTCTTGGTTTTATGTAAGGGAATAATTTAAAAGTTAGATTATGTAATACAGGGTGCTATCAATGCTGAATGCTTTTATCCTTTGAAAAACAGTTTTAGATGGATTTAAACTGTCTTTACTCTTTAGTTACCCAAAATTAGACATGTTTAAGGTATACAATGCACTTTCTGGGAAGTGAAACGAAAAAATATTCTGGGTGAGGAAATCTGTGTGATATTGGCATTAACTGACATTTCTTAGCACATTTATGTCACCATTTTCAATACACTTGAAGAGTTTGCAATAACCCAAAACAAGCTACGCGAAGAGTCCCTCTATTTTTGGGTACCACCAATAAATAGCCAGAACCAGCCTACAATACGAGCCGATACGCATTTTTGCCCACACATATATCAGTATGCTATGAGAAAAGTTTTACTACTTAGGAAAAGTTGCCAGGAAGTTGACTTTGAGAACCCAGTTTTACTGAAATCTGAAATCACTTTTCATTTGGGTGCTTGTTCCTGTTGCTTAACTAAAACAAACTGTACAACAACATGCTAAGAAGGCTTCAGTCCTCGTCATACCAATAACTTTATACCTCTGATTCAAGGTACACGATTGGAGACGCCGAACTCCAATCTAACGTGACGTATGGTTGGCTGAACGAGCTGTCACTGGTGACCAATCAGAGGTTCGTGCGGAATAACGCCACGGGCCTGTACATCCTGGGCCCGCCGAAACACTCCCTCTACATCACGTCGCTCTACTTCACCATGAGCAGTCTGACGTCGGTCGGCTTCGGGAACGTTTCCGCCAACACCGACGGGGAGAAGATATTCTCTGTCGCCATGATGATGATAGGATGTAGGCTCTACATTTATTTTATGAAAAATAGAAATAAATTGAAACTTTTCTCCAACTCAAAGATTTCGACTTCCTCACTTAAGTTTTCGTCCGAATTACTAGGCCTTCCTCAGTTTTTTTTACCCATTGCATGATCACGTGGTTTTGTTTACGTGTGAGGTCAGGCAATGGGTCAAAGGTGGTTGGAAGTCTATACCGCCCCCCGTCACGGTTGAGAGAACGTTGGTACGCTCTGATTCGAATAGCCTCCTTTACTCACAAAGTAATCTTGTTCTCTGTCCAAAATGATGACACGCTCCAACGAAACTCTGTGACCCAAAAATGACGATAATTCTTTGAGTTGAAGAAAAATTTCTTATAATGTATATTATCATATTAACTCAAATAAATAAATAAATAAATAAATATATTATCATATTATCTCATATTAACTCTAATGCTAATATGTTTTACACTTCAATTAAAGACACTATGTTCTTGTCTGCGTGGGGTCCAAAAAACAATTACCAAGCTCATTTCTTATATCCGCATTGGGGACATTCGTGTCCATAATTAGGAGATAACAGGGCATTATTAATTCATGTCTTAAACTAACAAGTTCGGATAGTTATCATATTTTTTTAGATAAGTAGTATAAATTCTGTCATATAAGCTTCGATGTTTACTCATGTTCCGCATTCAATTTTGCAATATCATTGTAATAAAATATAGATTTCATTTCGTAATACATTCCATGCCACAGGTTCAGTACATAACAAAATAATATTGTAGATATGAAATAACGAGGAAAAAAACGAATAGAATGAGATCTTATAACGTTACAAACATCTGTCATATATCGGTAACATAAGCACAACGACTTTCAAACACCGTCGTTCTCTTGTGCCTCCACAGCACTGCTCTATGCCACCATCTTTGGTAACGTCACAACCATCTTTCAACAAATGTACTCAGCAACCAATAGGTACCATGAGATGCTAAACCAGGTGAGACTAACAGCTCACTTATTTTATTTGTTGGACACGTGTTATTGTTATCTGTAACATTTGGGAGCTCGTTATGGGGTAAGTTTCTATCGCCAATGTATGTTTGGATTTCGGAGGCTACGTTTTGAAAGAAAAGATGAAGTAAATGCAGTTATTATTTGATAAGACATACTAGCTCTGTCTAAAATTGAAAGATCTGGCCAGAGAGGCACTACATCACACGAATGTTGACATAGAACAATAGGTTACGTGCACGAGATTTGGAGCAATGTTTATGGTCTAGTTTACATGAAAGTATCTAAGTAAACGTATTTGATAATATGATCATTGCATCTATGATTTTTCTACATGCATACGCCATGTGTTATGTTGTCTTGCAACAATATGACGAAAATGCATAAAGTTAATCTTTCAACACAAAGTAAATTGAGACACCCAAATTTTCGGCTAACGTAGTGTTGGAACATCGAATTTAGCCTTTCAGTCATAATGTATTATATCAACACACTCAGATGAACTTTCATGCTAAGTGTTGCAACATTGTTCATTCCTCCCCAAACAGGTTCGAGAGTTTATGAAGATTTACCAGGTTCCAAAAGGACTGAGTGAGAGGGTCCTAGATTACATTGTCTCTTCCTGGTCGATGAGCAAGGGCATCGACACACAGAAGGTCAGTGATTGAGTCAAGGCGCACAGCACCAGTGGGACCGCGTGTTTTGTTTTGGGACGCCGGTAACTCTCCCATCGCTACCCGGGCTTAACCTGGGCTACACGTGTGGGGGATTGTAATTGGCCTCAACACGTAACTTGGGTGTCAGGCGGGTCTCCCTATGTTGCTGATTTGCAATCTGTAATGACGTGTTTACGCCAAGGTGCGACGATAAACTTGCCATCCGCTGAGTAATTATTTTCCGTCGCGTTAATTGGTTGTCTGTGTGTGTGTGGTGTGGTGTGTGTGTGTGTGTGTCTGTCTGTCTGTGCGTCTCTGTGTGGTGCACTGGAAATTGAGTGATTAGAAGGAATCAATTGTATGATGTAATTCAATCGGGAATAATTTCCCTCTGATCATACAGTACAGTTCCAAAACATTCACGGGCACCAAAAACTGGCCCCCTGAAGTAAGTCTCAAATCTCCGATTTCGTATTATGAACAATTCACCTCTCCTGCCGTTCACTAATAAAACGACGACCAAGCTACAGTGACAACATGACGTTTGTTTACTACAACTTCATACTGATATAAACTCGTATCAACACAAAAATTAGGACTGTAAAGGACATTAAGCCACACTACATTTTAGGCTTACATGTAGGTCTAAAATAGAATAATATGTTAAAACACAGATCAGCTTGTATTACACTGTATTTTCTTTCACACAGTTCTGATCTGCTGAACACATACGATCATTGGCACTCAAAACTCTACCATTCCTCCAAGAATTACAACCAGGAACATTTTGTCACTGTAATATCATAGACAGCTTGAAAAATCACGCCATATCCTGGCTAATACCCAGACTACACGTGGTCCATTACGAGAAAAAGAACGTTTGAAAGTGATTATTCAGATTAACATGCACGGCAATCACCCATACATCATCAAACCCTGTCCCATTAGCGGTATTAGATTCCACTTGAGTTTCGCAATTTCTACTTCGATTAGTTTGAAAAGCTAATGGAAGGGTGCATGTAGTAGCCAAGAAGACTTTCTGTACATATTTCTTGGAGTCACAATCTAGATCTACCTTTGGGCAACGCCAATACATCTACACGTACACTAATGCTATATCCACATCTATCTCCTATCATAGGAGAAGTAATTCTTTAGTGTGAATGAAAGACGAAATGAAAACTTTTGGGACTGCCAAGAACTTCAAGGCCTAATAGTTTCACTGACCAGCATTCAAACAGGAAGAACACAAAACAATCGGGGCATAACTGCTAGGACTTACACGGCTTGTACTTGCTGAACAAAAAGAGATGTGTTGTACCTAAAGCCGGTCTACCGGTCATGCGAACCAAACAAAAGCAACCAGAATTCAAGGGTGTATAACTGATCGTAGTACATATCCAAGTTTCCAAATAAAATCCGTAAATGGAATATATTCGTTATCTATTTTACCTCATGTGTAGAATCATACTACGAAAGTAGACATTCCTGCATATAGGTATCAAGTATCAAAATCCTACCATGCCAGCGATCTTATGCCCTTGGGAAAGGCACTTCACACGAATTTCCTCACTTTACTCAGGTGAAATTTAGTATGTCTGTTGTCTGTTCATTCGTTTGTCTGTGTTAGTGACGGCATAAAAATAAGCTGAAAAAAACTTGAGTGTGCCGTCACCATGTCTTGTAATAAAATGCTGGAATAGAAAAAAACAACACTCAAAACACGATCACCTCTGCTACTCTAAAGATTCAATGACATTTAAATGTTAGAATTTACAAAGCAGGGGAAAATCTCCCATATGTATCTTGGCAATAATATCAGCGGGCGTAACTTAATCATGCCTATTTACGATACGTGATCATTTGGATAACCTCCAGAAAGTGACTTTAACTTTATCAAAGTCATATATATCTGCTTTTCATTGCCTTACACAGTACCAAAATCATAAATGCAACACCTACACAGTTATTGAATATTGTCTGGAGGCCCCTTACTTACAAAGTCTTTTAGTTTGTGCCTTAAGTCTTTAGTTGCTTTCAACTCTTCGAAAGGGTAATAACCTTGCAAAAAGTAACCCTGGGCAATACAAAAAGCAGAGGATAAAATCGTGGTAACCGTTACACAGACATAAATCATAGCTGCTCATATAAAGTTGTTTCTCCCATTACGTTTTGAGAGGTATGAATTACAAGTGAGGTCATTTTCCTGACCCTTCTCGCCGTGGGAGTTCCGCTGCTTAGGCAAAATACCACATTACCAGGTAAAGATGAACACTTGTTGCTCTTAGCAAAATGCGGAAATGTTGGGTTGGCATTTCATCTTCAGCACTCCAGGGCTAACGTAGTGGTGTTAAGTTGTAAAAGGGGCTTTCATTAGACGATGGGCATATGTTTGGAAGCCTCTTAGTTTTGTGATTGATATGTGTAGCGTTTATGTGCACATGTATGCTGGTACCTCAATGATTCCCTCCGGATCTGGTCTGATGTAAAGTTAACAACAGTTGCCGAGCCGTTTCCAGAAGGAGTAATTACTTATATGATTCCTGGAGGAGGCTTTAGCACTGCACAAAAAAGGTGGATTTACCGATGGTAAAAAATGCCAGTAAAGTCGGGTGATATTTTCTTCGTAAACAGTAAATAAGAGGCAAGTTCGAATATTTTAGACTTAACATTGATAGTGAATAAAATTGCCATTTGACTATCACAAGGTAAACATTACACGTCTTTGTGCTGAACGGCATCCACGCACAGGCAAACATACCTGTCCTTGGTGCTGAACGCCATCCATACACAGGCAAACATACCTGTCCTTTGTGCTGAACGCCATCCACACACAGGCAAACATATCTGTCCTTATTACTGATCGCTATCCACACACAAGCAAACGTACCTGTCCTTGTTACTGAACGCCATCCACACACACACACACAAGCAAACATACCAGTCCTTGGTACTGAACGCCATCCACACACACACACAAGCAAACATACCAGTCCTTGGTACTGAACGCCATCCACACACACACACACACACAAGCAAACATACCAGTCCTTGGTGCTGAACGTCATCCACACACACACACACACACACACACAAGCAAACATACCAGTCCTTGGTACTGAACACCATCCACACACAAGCAAACACGCCTGTCCTAAGAACTGAACGCCATCCACATCAGAATCAGAATTGTTCTTGGTGCTGAACACCATTCACACACAGGCAAACATACTTGTCCTTGGTGCTGAACCCCATCCAGGCACACAGGCAAACATTCCTGTCCTTGGTGCTAAACGCTATCCACACACAGGCAAACATACCTGTCCTTGTGCTGAACGCCATCCACACACAGGCAAACATATCTGTCCTTAGTACTGAACGCCATCCACACACACACAAGCAAACATACCTGTCCTTGGTACTGAACCCCATCCGCACACACACAAGCAAACATACCAGTCCTTGGTGCTGACCGCCATCAACACACAAGCAAACACACCTGTCCTAAAAACTGAACGCCATCCACATCAGAATCAGAATTGTTCTTGGTGCTGAACACCATTCACACACAGGCAAACATACCTGTCCTTGGAGCTGAACGCTATCCACACACAGGCAAACATACCTGTCCTTGGTGCTGAACACCATCCACACACAAGCAAATATACCTGTCCTTGGTGCTGAACACTATCCACACACAGGCAATCATACCTGTCCTAGCTGCGGATTCTGTTACCAAACGTAATAAAAGTACTAAACTATATCCCACAGGTGCTTGAAATCTGCCCTAAGGACATCAAGGCGGACATCTGTGTCCACCTGAACAGGAAAGTGTTCAATGAGCACCCGGCGTTCCGGCTGGCGAGTGACGGGTGTCTGCGTGCCCTGGCCATGCAGTTTACCACCAGCCACTCCGCGCCGGGAGACCTGCTCTTCCACTCCGGGGAGAGCATCGACGCACTCTGCTTCATTGTATCGGGGTCACTGGAGGTCATCCAGGACGACGAGGTTGTTGCAATCCTTGGTGAGTTCCGTCCTGTTTGAGTCTACAGCTGCAGAGTAATAGTCGGGGTCGTGTGGTGTAATGACACAACGTTCGGCTCGGAACTAAGAGGTCCCGAGTTCGAATCATGCCATGCCACCGATCTTTAGCCCTTCGGAAAGGCACTTTACACTCCTTTCCTCACTTAACTCAGGTTTATCTATTGTCCGTTTATGTGTTTGTTGTCCCCTGCGTTGGTGGCGGTGTGAAAAAAACTTGAGTGTGCATGTGCCGTCACCATGTCTTGTGACAAATGTTGGAATAAAAAAATTCCAGCCCGGGGCATGGGCGGGCAGTTTCCAAGCACGAAAGGTATGACATAAAAGACAACACTAAGTCAAAAGACAACACTGACTAGTTAATGATGAGTACTATATGTATATATTGTTCATATGAAAATGTTTTTCGTTCATGCAAACAGCCTGACTGGACCCCGGTTTGAAAGTGTACTCTAAGTATAAGCTTACGATTCCATTGGCTTCAAACAGATGGTCCTGTCATGTACTATAAAAGTAGAATGAATTCATTCATCACGCTATACCGGCATCTTTCACGCCGCAGTCGTCCCTCAGTAAGACATCTGGAGCCGCATTAGTTCTCGTTTAGAACTTTTATTCAGCCTGTCACCACCGGTTTCGCCCTTGTTCTTCTTCAACTGTGCAATGACGCAAGTTCTCACTTATATAACGTTCTCACTTACACACCTCTCTAGTGGATACACAGATGGCCCTGTCATGTACAATTTATGATGTGATTTGTTCGTGGCTGTGTGTTACGTTATATATCTATCATGTCGTTTTCTTTGGACATGCAGACATTGTCATCCAAAGCATGTGTTTTGCTGGAACTGTATTTCATCAAAAAGCTTTTCATGGAGGCCAAACGTTCCTTCTACAGCATACCGACTGCTACACTGCACAAAATTCATTCTTTAAGCATGTGTAATGGTTCCGTTTCTTCTGCATACTTATAACATAGGATTTCGTACAGTGCCTGTGCCCCTCCCCCTTTGCTGCCGTTCATATATATTAACGTTGTTACTGACATAAATGATAACTGACAATATTTGCCACCTCGTACTCCTTGCATTGATGACTTTCCATTTACATATTCACTTGTTATGCCTCATATCATAGTTTATTTTGACCTTTGCGTAAACATCTGTTGTTATCAGAATTTCTTGCCTTTCATTTTCATAGTCACCTCTTTATATACGTCTCGTATCATAGTTTATTTTGTTCTGTGCATAAACACCAGTTATCAATATTTCTTGCCTACGCTGTGTGCAATGTGACTTATACATACACATATTTCATTCGTAGAAAAAGAATCATACTGACAATCTAATTAGTTCAACATCAGCTAATACCTCTCGGGCTTCGTAAAAAGAACTTAACTGCATGGACTGATTAAAACTCGATCCTCTTGGTAGCCAATATGGCATCGACATAGAGCGAATCTGCCTCCAGACGTAAGAAGGATAATATGAGGGAAATTCTTCCATGTCCCAGATTTCTTTCACATGCCTAAGAAATGTAATAAATTGCCAATAAATTCATGAAAAACAGCAGCGAACTTTTAAACTGCAGTATATAAAGACATTCAATGGGGGCGGAATCAAAAAGGTTCCATGTAAAGGTAAACATTATTCTAGTTTGAAATGTTCTCTTCCCCTCCAGGCAAAGGCGACGTTTTCGGGGATAACTTCTGGAAGGAGCCTACGCTAGGCCAGTCATGCGCAAACGTGCGCGCACTTACCTACTGCGACTTACACGTCATCAAGCGCGACGGACTCATGCAAGTGCTGGAATTCTACACGGCCTTCGCAAACTCGTTTTCCAGAAACCTCGTGCTCACTTACAACCTCAGACACAGGGTGGGTACTTATGTAGCAAGTGACAGGGCACAGTTGGACGGGCTGGTATATGAATACGTTTAAGTACTTAGATCTTCAACAAAATGTTTTTCATTCAAACGTCTGCTTTATACCTGAAATTTTCCTTCCGCTTATCACTTTAACTTACAAAATTTTCGACCGTGTCATCTGTCTCCATTTTCCTGACGCGCACTGATCCTTGGGATGTGTGACGTCAGGAGTGGGTCAAAGGTTCCCCGAAGTCGATACCTGCCGCCGTCCCGGCTCAACGCGAGTCAATAGGCACTGATGTAAACTGCCTTCTTTACGCCTCTTGTGGTGTAGAAGTTTTAGTGTTAGATAGCAGTGAACAAAAGAATATATCGTACCATGCAGCACAGATGCACTTTCCAATAAACGTCTCTGATTTGTTCTACATATCATTCTACCAAGATGTTATGGAAAATAAGGACGACTCTAGGAGAGATTGAAGTATTTTATGTGTTTTTGTAAAGTTTGTATTTGGCACTGAAATGGTTTTCCTTCCCACATCAGGTCGTGTTTATAGATTGAAGCATTTGATGTGTATCATAGTGTAACGGTTTTCCCTCCCACACCAGCTCGTGTTTAGAAAGATTGCGGATGTAAAACGCGAAAGGGAGGAGATGGAGAGGCGAAAGAATGAGCCTCCTCTGGATCTGCCATCCAATCACCCCGTTAGGAAGCTATTCTCCAGGTTCAGGAAAGGCCTTGGTGACGTACAGGTAAGACGTATTATCATAAAGCCAGAAAATGTAGGCCAATCAGAAGTCTCCATTTCAGTGACCAATAATTATCTCACAGGTGGTGAGGTTAAATCAATCAACACCCCGACCAATAGGGTCGACCGATTTACATCACGCTGGGTACTGTCACCATGGTACTGGTGCTGTAGCAGACACCTTGCGGTGTTGCATTACATTATGTAGCAAGTGAAGACAGAATAGGAGGGTCTGGTCACCATATTATATATACAAATATGTTTAAGTAAGAATAAAGCGAGCAGTAGTTTGTTTGGATAGAACTTATAATGATAAACATTTTGAATTAATAACTTTGCTTGCTCATTGTGTGACTCAGGAAAAACCCAACGAAGACATAGAGAGGGCCGACAGTGGTGAAGACAGCGAAGGAAAAAGTAACGACGCTCGGCCTAATACCAGAGTCATCAAGGTGACCGAAGGCAACAATTCAATAGATGGGTTACCGCGTCCCTCTAGCAGTAACAACAACCAGAATCCACCACATAATGGTGAGAGGGACAAAATGTCCGGCGGCAAAGTCAGTGCCTGGGGCAAGTCATCCAAAACTCCCAACGGGGAGACAGGGAAACAAAAGCAAGGCGACAGCAGCCGGCAAAACACCCTGAGGGTGCAGACTGAGCAGAAGCACAAGGGTAGCATGTGGAGCAGGATGAAGCGTGGAGAGTCGTCGTCTACCGAGGCGGCGGACAAGCGCGCGCATTCAGCGGGAAACAACCACACCACCAATCTGAGGAAAACGGACTCGACGGACAGCGGGATTTTACGCAGTGACTTGAAGCTGGACACGTTAGTAGACTCTCCCTCCGCGGAGAGGATAGCACTGTCTCCAAACGCGTCTCCAGAGAAACTCATTCAGTGCCTGTGTGGAATCAGGCAGGAGCTGAGGAACGAAGTGGAGTGTCTCAATATCAAAATGGCAAAAATAGACGAAAAGATCCAGGACATCCTGAGGTGGATGACCGTTGACAACTCTAGTAACTCTGGTCCCTCACCAGAAGGGAACGGTTCGTCTAGAACAAACACAAATGTACCCAATGTACCAAAGAGGACTATAGTAACTGCAGAGATTTCTCCCATTAACGAGAAAATGTCCTCGCCCGAAAGGAGGTTTTCAGAGAGCGGAACTGCTCCCAGGTCTCCCAACGAGCTGTCCCTGCCCTACACGGACGAGAGCGGGAGGCGGCACTCGGCTTCCTCCCTCGTGCCCGGCGCTGGCGGGCGGGGAGACGAGACAGATCAACCCCCTGAGAGACCAAGGAGCGGTTCGTCGCCATCCGTTACCCCCGAGGTTAGGGTCAACCTGCCCGAACCGAGAGTTGTGATCTCTGCGCCTGGGGAGGAGACGCCGAGGTCGGGGTCGCCCGTTCCCACGATGTCCCTGGATAGGGACTTCGTAAGGGCGGGCATCCGGGACTTCAGTAGGAGCGGCGGCAGTGAGGCCGACTGCCCCACCATAGCAGAGAACAAGGACGACATGGACATCAAGCTGTAGACGACAATGCGAATCATGCAGCTGCGAATCGAGGACTTGGTTTGTACCGAGTTGAACTCATCACAAGTGTTTATAATTCCTCGCCAGACGTGAGGCTATATGCGGACACACTTGTTGGCGAATGTGCCTATGGATAGTTTCCTTGGCAGGAAAAAGCCAAGAATCCACAAAAAACGATCGTTGGAAGGCCAAGAGGATTTTATCTCACTCATTTCCTATTCCTGATGAAGAGAAGGCCTAGAGTAGTTAATGTGGAATTATAGATTTTATTGATCCGTAAAACGACACTATGGAGGGGAACTGAAGCAGGAAACCTGACCGTGACAATGACAATACGAGACCGTGTGTGTTGAACAGACTAAAAGCTATGGAAAACTAAAAATGGGCCACTCGGACAAAAAAATTTTGAAGGATGCTACAAACAGAGAAGTGCTTCGAGACACTGTTATAAGTTGCCGTACGTGATACATACAACTATATATGAACACCTGATGATACAAGCAATACAAAAGTCTTGCCGTTCTGCTGGGAATGGTGGAGGGTGTATGTGTTCCTGTGTTCCCGTGTAGGCACGTGTTCTACATGCTACACGCCATGATCCACTCAGTAGGTAGCCATCCAATAGACCTATGGCAGGGGCGTCTGTTTACGTCAACAAGAAAACAAAGTTCATTACAAAAATGTCTAGCAAGGAAAGAGGCGGTCGAAGACCTTTAAATTTATGCCTGTATGATAGGCATGGCATCATTTCTTGACATGTTGTCTTCCCTTGGACAGAGATCATTAGAAATTTGTAGAAAATCATTGGGAAAAAATCATTCGAAATTTTTTGAATTCCTATAAAATCGTACGAAATTTCTAGAAAATCATTCGAAATTTCTAGAAAATCATTGGGAAAATATTCGAAATTTTTCGAAATTCCTAGAAAATCCTTCGAAATTCCTAGAAAATCCTTCGACATTTCTAGAAATCCATTCGAAATTTCTAGAAAAATGATTTTCTCTTGTGCCTCCTGCCACATGTATTGTTGGAGCATACCTCTCGGTGTATCGTGTTGACTGCTGGGCCATTTTGCACACAGCAGACAAACTTCTGAAGAATATACTGATAAAGGTAGTATATTACAAAACCATGTGACGTCTCCAATATGTATGCCACAGGCTCTTGCAGTTTTATCACTAACAAACAGTGCCGTGGTTAGGGATGTCTTTCCAACAGCCTGTAACAAGTACAGGTATATACACTAAGTGAGAAGTTTTACAGTACATGCATATGCCGACTATAACTTACAGAAATCACTTCAGAAATACTAGGAAAACTGCACCTGAGCGTACTACAGATATCATTTTGCAAACTGTTCAGTGACTCCATATTAAGATCTAGGTTGGCATTATATTTCACATGACGTTAAATTTGCGAAAGAAATTATTAGGCTCTTGACATTATTCAACTAAAATGAAAATGAAAATGTAGTAGTCAAAATGATTGTATGATTTTGCCCCAAAGTTGAAAACGTTACAAATTATTTATATATACCGATGGTCAAAAGGTGGGCCAAATCAAGTCAGTATAATGTATCCTGGTCCATTCGTCCTTTCAAAAAAGAGAAGCCTGCAGTATCCCAGTCTATACATACATCGCCCTTCGAAACTGGCAAGTTTTATTTCTTGTTTAGCATGAGGAACTAGGTATCGCATCAAAAAGTAAGCGTCATTGCATACTGACAATTTTGGTGACGCCACAGGGGCGGGTCTGCTTTGGTGATGTTTCTTTCCACGCGTTGCTACACAAAACATATGCAATCGTACTGACAGTGACTGTTACGGACTATTACGTCTCGCCTTATTTCCAATGTGCACTTGATCAACGAATTGATGATCTTGACGAAAATTAGCTCAGAGGAACACTCTTTTTGTATTATAACATGGCGTCCACAAGTAATTCCAAATCATCTGTATATTAGACCACAAATGCATATTTGTTATGATGACGAAGCTGTCCATATGTGGATTATATTTATCATAATTGTGCTTGTGTGCTTAATAGCTGCTAAAATTGTTTCTTTTGGAGTTCACTTCTTGTAATTCTTTTATTCCTTGTAATACATTTAGGAATTACAACGAATCCAAAATATGACACTAGGATACTGAGAGCTCCAAAGGCATTATGAGTATGAGAAATGTGTCTGTCAATGTTATAGTCTGACTGACGATGTTAATCTCATTATTGTACGTTGTATTTTTGTTTTTGTTGATTTTTCTGAGCCAGTAGCCACTTTATATCAGTCTGGAAGACGAAAGGATTTTCATAGCTTACTACGGTGAGTGATAAAAAAAGGAAACTGTGACATCATTTTTCACATAACTGCTGCGAGGTGTGTGTAAACGTCACGGGAATGTGTTCTGACGTCACAGTAAGGTGTGCTGACGTCACAGCCCCATGTGTTGGCCTAAGGAACCAAACCCCTGATTTTCACGGATTTGGTCTTTATCATAATTTATACATTTGTAGGCACTGTTCTGGAGAGCCGTTGGGCGTTCTTTTAGCCTATATATCGCCGATCGGCTGTTTTTTATAATCAAAGTATGGTTACAAGTTACGACTACTTCTAAATCGAAGCTGTAGTCGCGGCACAATATTCATACTTCTGTAAAGAGGAATCAGTTGTACATTTGCTGGCAAATCGAAAAAAAGTTTCTTATATGATCTGCATATTATCATCAGACTAAGTAAGAGAAATATCTCAGTTTTTGAGAGCGATTAGAGGAAGCAATATTCACATACAAGTTTCCGATGAGTCAGATGACAAATTTTGTATAGATGAGATATATCTATATATATCTATATATAAATAAATTACGATTAGATAGATAGAATCCGAAGCTTGAGAAAAAGGCAAGAAGTTGTCACGAAGACCACGTGGTTGGATTGAGTAAAATAGAGTACCATTTATTATATTCATGAATACCATGAATTTATAGTAAGGTAACGGCTGAGAAAGTCTCTTATTGCCCTTCTTTCGGTTGGTCAGTTGCAATTTATTTTGTATTGCGTTATCACGAATATTTGTTTTGGCAATATATGTATTTCTTGTACATGTACGTATACATGCGAGAGGACCGCAAGTAGCATTGGACTTCCAAAAAATTGAGAACGATCGACACAGTTCTAATAGTCGTTACGATTCGGACCAAAAGAGTGGAACATAATTATGTTTTGTATATCCATAAACATTTTGATATTTTCCCAGTTTATATTTCCTGCTAACTTGCGCGGTATTAAATCCACGACTTCGAATCGTGGAATATCCAAGATGCGTCGGTGTCTTAGCCTGATATTTCTAACAATGTCCACATCATAATGAAAAAAAAAAGTACAGGTCATTCTTTGGCCCAAAGAATGGCGCATATCTCTCCTGAAACCGTTCTATACCTGTGAAGATGTATTTTGCATGGCTTAGTTAGCGCACAAGAGATGTGAGGACAGCCCATCTACTTGGTCGTATTATTAAACTGTACATATTTTATAAAGATATGTAATGAATAAAAGAGTGATGACTTCTTCTAGATAAAGCGTTGGCGTTTTTTGTGTGTTTTTTACGGCTTTCTGAGTCGTTCTTTAAATGTAGTAAGTTGAATCAACCCAGCTGTTAAATAGCATATTGGTATCTTTGAGGAAAAAAATAGGTGTCGCTGACGGGAAATGCTTGTTTTGTAACGTAGGCTGGTTCTAGGTATTTATACCCAAAAATAACGCTTCAAGTATGAAATGTTGACGAAAAAGTGCTAAGAAATGGCAGTAAATTTCCATATCAAGAATATTTTTATTTGCCTTCCAGAAATTGCCTTTCCTTCCTTGAGTTTCTCGCTCGACTTCTTGAAGTGTCAAAGAATCCCTTGGCTATGAAATGTTGTTCCCGCCCCTAGACCTCGTCGATACATGATATCTCCAGACCACATAGCTTTTCGCTGCTGGCTTATCGACCGAGCCCGGGCAAATTTACGGCGAGGCATTAACTGGCGCACATAATCAATGTGGATACCGGCGGTTGTCGTGTGCGGTCCCAAAGGACAGATTGTGGGGATGATTGCACGGGATTAGCTCGGAGCGAAGTGTCGTGTTTTTTACGATCGACTGGTGACGTCCGCAGACAAGTTTGACGTTTCCTACGACGATAAGCGTGCAGTTCTTCAGCTGTGGAAGTAAGGAAATGATGCGACATCTTTCGTTTTCTCCAGAAACTGCAGCTACTTACCTCCAAGCACAACACACGCATATATAGTTATTGGTACCAGAATAAACAACGTGAATTGTATTTCTCGTAAATTGTAAAAGAAAACACTAGAAAGTTAACATTTGCAAACCAAGGAATCTAAATCCCTCCTCCTATAAAATTGCAACATGATGTAACCCAAGTTACCCAACACCAGTTACCATGGTCACAGCCATATGGTTCAGGTCATTGACCTTATTGGTTTGGAGG